TAAAATTTAATAGATATATCATTTTTTACTATAATTTTTTTATGCCATAGCGATATTAATATTAGTCTTATTAAGATAATTAGTATTATAATTATATAAACGGTTTAAATTTGGTGTAAAAAATGAATGAATATTAAAAATAAATTGTAAATCATAACATAATATTAAAAATATTAAAATATTTTTTGATGCTGGACTATAAATAATAAATTAATTAAAGAATTTAGGAAAGTAATAATGTAATAGCGATTGTTTTAGATAATAAATGTAGGAATCATTTGTATTGAGTTTACTAAATAAGATGGGTTAAAATCAAACAATTAGAAAATTATTAAAGTGAAAAACTAATAGCAATCAAATATTTGCATGATAGTTTTTAAGTATGCAACTGAAATGGTTTTGAATGTTATAGAAATGCCCAATTTATTGTTAAAGTTGCTCTCAAAATGCATGTATTTCTTGTATTGCTGGTTATAATTTGGATATAATTGGCAACTCCTATAGGTCTGTTTGTGGAGATAACCGTATTACTGTTGAAGAATAATGAGATGGAAATAATCTTATTAATGACGGTTGCAGCTTATTCTAAAGAGTAGATGTATTGATCGGTAAAGTTGTAATGAAAAAATGGATTATATGATGATGATCAAAATAATGAATGTTTTACAAAATGTGGAGATTCTATCAAAGCAGGAACTAATGCGATGATGGAAGTGAAATACAATATGATGGTTGCTTTTCATGTTTGGTTTGTTGTGATATATTCTGTGCTGTTTGTCAATTAAGAGGCTGTGAATATTATTAAACTGGATACAAGAAAATTGATTAACAATTTATTTTGATTGTGGAGATGGTTTAATCATAAGTAATGAAGAGCGTGATGATGGCAATTCTCTAATGAATGATGGATGCAAAATTTGTATAATTGATCAAGGATATAAATGTTAAACGCTTGATTAAAAGATCTTTGTATTTAATACAATCCTGAATGTGCAGATTCTGAGCTAAAAAATGATTAATTAATTTGTTTATAATGTAGTAAAGGCTACTTTATTAGTTTTGGTGAATGTTTAAAATGTTCTGAACGTTGTTTAGAATGCTAAAATTGCCCTAATTATTGTAAAGAGTTAATGATAGAAGATTGCCAAAATGCAATAAAAATTAGGAAATTATAATGATTTTAGTTAAAAAAAATGTACTGCAATTTTTGGAGATGGTATCATGGCTGGAAAGGAGGAATGTGATGACGGCAATAATTTGAATTAAGATAGATGCAATTAAAGATGTGAAGTTGAAGTAGGTTTTTTAGTCTGTTTTAAACATTTGTATTAAAAATGAAGAAAAATAAATTGAATATCATTATTCTAATTCAAGCACTGCTAGTAGCATATTCTTGAAGAGTGCGATTAATTTGAAGATTGTTGCACTAGAATCAAGGTTAATATTGAGTATTTTAATTATTTACTAAAACCTATTTAATTAAAATCCAATAACAAAACTGGATTAGACACTAATTTTCATGAATGTCTAACTTCTTTAAAACTATTAGAACGTTTATTTAATACATTTATTAATTCGAGGCTTTTAGAGGAGGATGATATCAGATAAATCATTGTTATCCCAAGAAAATCGGTTTATTATAATCAGGTTTAGATAGATTAAGCATAGGCAGTTGTGACTACTTCAAATAAATTATAATGTTTACTATAATTGATTGATCCATTGACAATATTATTTGGAGGACATAACTTTTTTTGGACCTCCTTGGACTTATTAACTTGAATAAACAATTTTTACTTACTTAATGTAGATTATCCGCTGAATGTGAAATCGCTCGTTTAACATTTAAATGGGATGATATTTTTAATATTCCTGAATTTATTTCTCTAAATTCACCAACTGACCCTTACTACTTTGAAGCTCCTCCGAAATTTAATAAAAAATATATGAATCCATAATTACTTAATAATATAAAGGTATTTAGTTGCCTCATATTATTGGCTATAGTTTCGTTGATATTTTATATACATTATTATAATTGTTAAAGTTCAGTCCAAAAAAATATTGAATTGTTTATTGGCATTTCCCTTAATCTTCACTTGCTAATATTTCGGAAAAAATTACTCGTTAGCTGCAGGTGTCTGCATCAAAATATACAGCTGGTACATGTATGTTGATTTAAATAAAATTGATCATCAAAAGCCGAGCAATTATGAAGCACAACGGATGATATAAATTAATACCATCCCTGATATAAAAGCAACTTAGGCTTCAAGTAAAGCGCTACTAGATACGTATTTGTCTTTATCGTTTATGCTATAACATAGAACTATAAGTACTAAATGAGATCATACAAGTTGTAAAAGCAGACTGGACAACATCTAAACACAAAAGGATGAAAGATATAAGACAGAAAGTAATACATCTCTGAATCCCAAGTTGATGAATAATACGAGAAATCGCCATTGAAGCAAATGATTTGCATATATCAATTTAAGTAGTAATATATTTTAGCGTACACAAGAAAAACCAGCATTTTTTTTGAGAGATCAAACATATCTATTCATGCCTAATTGATATGCTATGTCTGCAATAGATATTTTAACATAATGATTATCAAGTCTGCCATCATTTTCTATGTTTGACTTGTGTAATAAGTAATTTTATTGTTAGAGAGCAACCTTAACAGGGAAGAAGCATACATTGATGTTTGACAAGTAATTGGATTTCGACATTATACACATAAGTTGAGAAAATGTTAGCTCCTGAACCTCTTTGTTGCCGGAAAAAGAGAGTAAAATATATATATTCTTCACTCAACTCAGTCCATTTTCCAATTATAATCGAACTTTTGTCATATAATCCCCCAACCCTAAATACTATTTTTTATTTTTTACATTATCTAATTTTTTTATGATATCCCACCGCTATTATACCAGGTATCCCAAATACCAACTTTTTTACCTTTTTTATATTCACCCCTATACGAAATTTATTATGATTTTTTGAACTCTTTGATCAACTCAACCCATTTTCCAATTTTTATTGATCCATCTTCTGACTCCTCGTAAGTTCCACCACAACTATAGTAAGATGATAAAATCTATACATCTATTCATAGTTTTTTGAGATAATAAAAAAAAAAAAAGTATCCCATCTACCGGCTTT